GGGGGGGGGGGGGGGGGGGTCCAAAAATCGTATACTAGGACAGACCCTAATCGGGAGAACTCACACGAAAACAAACCTCCTCTGAAAACAATTGAAAATTAAAACCGTGTTTGAGTCTGAACGCGAAGTTTTTTGATATTTTCAATAAGAAAAATAATTTTTTTTTCACGAATGTTTTTAAAATTAGATTTAATTGATTTGATAGTAAAATTATTTTCCCACGTAGATAAATAATTTTGTTTCAGTAATAGAAGGGTGTCTTTTTTAAGTGACGAATTATTAATAAATTATTATGACTTTTGCGAAAACTGGATGCTAATGTTACCTGAAATTTGAAAGTGCCACACTTTTGTAATTATTGCCACTATTCATTCGCACATTCCTGTAGCTATTTTTTATTGTTAAACGTTTATTCGCATATATTCGCAATACTGTATTTTTTATTGTTGTAAACGTTTGAAGAAGAAGAATTATTGCCCCCTTTTGATGATAATTGATAACAGACCATTTATGCAACTTATTTTTAGGAGCTTTTTAATGGAGTTAATTCGAGAATCAGTGTGAGTCCGCTAGAGGGACCGGGGGGTGTTATTATGCCGTCGCCCCCCTCCTCTCCCCCCGGGGGGCCTCCACCTCGCCTTGAACCCCCTCTCAAGCCAGTGAACGGTATCGTCCAACCGCCGTTTATACCTCCTCCTGAGCGGCCGGGTCGGATGACAAATAAACTGCTGATCATTAAAAACAGTATATTTAAGGTAAAACATAATAGCTTGGGAACCTGCTTGGGAACCTAGCATTGCCCAGGTTACTTCTAGTTACTCCCGCAGTTTATCTCAGCTTGGTCTTAAATTACGATTTTAGCTATTCTTCTATTTAAAAGTCGACCCTCACAACTTAGAATCTTAAACCAAGCTAAGAACATTCCCGTGGGTCTACCGAGTAGTCATGGGGTTCCCAAGTTATGATCGGACAGACAAACAGACATTACTAATTTATATGCATGCATAGATTTCTTAAATTTATGAAAATTAATTAATTATAATTTAAAGAAGTAAGTTAATCATTTGATGCACTTATTTGAAACTATTTCAGAGCATCTGGAAACATTTACACGCCTGGCCTTTCCATAAACCTGTAGATACAATATCACTCAATATTCCAGGCACAATATCTACCATCACTGTTAAGTCGTCGTAAACAGAAAAAAATAAGATCATCTGACAAAAATTAGAAATATTTTAACGTCTAGTAGATAGCAAGTCTGAGAAGGCAAAAGTTAAGTAGGTCAAGTGATGTAAATATTGAATGGTTCAGATTACTTCAATATCATCAGAAGGCCCATGGATTTAGGGACTGTGAAAAAACGACTAGGTAAGTCGATTGCTCAATAAATCTGGAGAAAACTAATCCTATTCAAAATTTCCAGATAATAACTACTATTGGAATGCCAGCGAGGCTATAGCGGATTTTGAACAAATGTTTCAGAACTGTCTGATATACAATAAACCAGGTAAGAATAGTTGAATTATTGATGGGGGTGGGGGTGGGGGGGTTTTTTGAGAAAAATTTTAAAACTTTATTTTGTTGAGGCGTTTCCTCTTTTTTTTGAGGCGTTTCAGTCAAATTTTTGAGGCATTTCCGCGTTGAGACGTTTCCGTGTTGAGGCGTTTCCATAGCACCGATGTGGGACACCCTGTAGATTGCCTAGGAAGGGATATGCAAGCAGATGTTATATTAAAAGAGCCCCCTCCCCATGAGTGCCCCCCCCCTTCGAGGGGGCACGCGTAGGGAGGGGGCCCCCTTCCCCCGTACGCCCCTGGTCAGAAAACTTCAGCTTTATTTATAGCCTTCGCATTTAATTCCTGCATTTAAATAAAATTCTAAGGTAATTTCATGTTGCCGCCACACCCAACAAGATTTCCCGGTCTGAATAGAGGTTTCCGGCAATGAATAAGCGCGCTACCTGCCTTGCTCACACCGAACAGTCAACCCCCCCCTGCACTCCCCTCAGATATTTACTACCTGCCTCTCCTCCCTAGTCTAAATATCTCCCTCCCCCCCCCATTTCTCCACCACTCGCCGATAACCGGTTTCAGTCAGTAGCCTAATATGGCGTCGATTGAAGCAAATCCTCGTTGCAGCTTGTTTTACGTAATATAGCGTACGATGAAAGAAATTCAGTGAAATTTACCATTTAAACGGAGCAGTGACAGTTATAGATTTTAGAAAATTGAAGATTTTTCTTCTGTATTTACAGATTTTGCGAGGATTCATATTCTTAGTTAAACTGTGAAAAAATGTTGCAATCTAATCATTTTGTAATATTGAAGAACATATTAAAATTGGCTCTGAGTTCATAGCTAGACAGAGTTTTATTTTTTGTATTTTAAAAACTTAACATAATTTGATTCTGCTGTGTTTTCAGAACTTGACAGAGATCCAAATTAGTGAATTTTAGTTGAAGCTGTAGCTTGCCTGTTCTGTTCGTTAGTTGAATATCAAACTAATGGAATAGGTAAATCTATATTATAAAGGTTCATTATATCAACACACTTCATATATTGATATTTTCTTAGTAAACGATTTTTGGACCGCCTGCTTCCCCTACTGTCAATTTTGTACATGGTTATCATTTGTCAGGCGGCCGAAGCCATCCGGCCCCTTGCCTGTCCTAGCCGCAGCGCTTGGCCTCTTACCCTGTCCTAGCCACAGCGCTCGGCTAAGAAATTGTTTTAACCTAACCTTAAAATAATAAATATAAATAACTAATAAATTTGCTGGTAATTTCCTAGTATACGAAAGTGTGGCCGCAGCGCTCGGCCCTTCCTTAACCTAACCTAACCCTAAATATCAGAAAAATAAATAATAATAACCTAACCCGTGGCCGCAGCGCTCGGCCCCCTAGCCCATCCTAGCCGCAGCGCTCGGCCCAGAAAGTGTGGCCGCAGCGCTCGGCCTTTCCTTTTGCTCTATATATATTAGCCTCTATATTAGCTCTATATACTTAGCCGCCTGGCCTCAAAAGGTCTAACCTAACAATGAATAAAATGACGTATTTTTGATACCCTAGGTCGATATAGAGAAAAAACGGGCTTATTGATAGAGAAAAAAGATGTATTGAGGAAAAAGTGAAAAGAGCATACATGGCCATAGAGCAAATGTTCATAGAGCATCGCAGGGGCAATAGATGTAGATATATCGTGGAACCTTTTTAACCTTTACATTAGAAACTATAAATTAGATATGATTTTTTGTGAGCATGAACCTTTTCCCAGTAACCTTTATAATTAAAACTCTTTTTCAAATGGCTTTAATTGAGAGCCTTACAGAGAGCTTTTTTATTTGTTTTGTGGGAGAGAACAAGAATATTATAATTTGAATAATTTCTAGGCGAAGACGTTGTTACCATGGCGAATGTTGTGCAAAGAGAATTCCAGAGATTGGTTAAACAAAAACTTCAAGGAAATTTCTAATATACTGATATATTTGTTGATTTGTTAGTTAAATACTGAACAAGCATGTACAATAATGATCGGCTCAATCATACAGAAAAGAATTCCCATTTTTATGTCTGAAACAAATCTTTCGTTAACCTAATATATTTGGATTGAATTAGGTGAGGAATACACAGTTACGGCTGACGGACAATCTAAGGTTTGATTTACATTTATTTCCAATTAAAAAGTCAGCTGATTATTGTTTTTATTTTGTAACAATAAGTAAAATTGTCCATTGAGGTTTGTTGGTTTCCAAGCTCTTAAAACGTATAAAATGAATGCAGTGAAATCGTCCATGGAACTTTTTTATGTATCAAACGAAAAGTTGATGAATGATATTTCTAGAATAAAAAAATTTCTCGGAATGATACCTCTGGGAGTGTGAGACCAAGTCCAAGTATATCTCCTTCAAACTCAATGTCGTCATTATCCTCTAAGGTGAATATCAAAACAACGGGAATTCTATTCTTGCTGCAGTGTGATTTTTGATGAAGGGGGGGGGGTCAAAACGGTTTAAACTGGGTATCAAAGGACTCGTTTTTGTTCATTCTTTTTGAAACATCATTCCCAAAAATTGATCTATTTCCCTCTTAAATTGATTTATTCTTCCCCAAATCAGAGAAGAAAACTTTTAACATAAAAAACTTCTGGAAAAATTAATTTTTCAAGAAAAAATACATCCTTGTGAAGAGGATGTTCGTTCGTTAAAAAATTAAATTTCAATTGACATTTCTGTCACTGCGTTCGTTCTGGTATTAATTTGGGGCGAGACATAACTTTAAAACAAATTTAGAATGATCCTGAACTAATAAAATATTGAATCAGGAGGGTAAAGGTATTAAACGAAAAGCTGAAGGTGGATCTCCTCCCCCTGCTAAGCAACCCAATCTCTCCTCCTCCTCCAGTGGTACACCAGCTGGGCTTGGGAAGACTCCGCCTCCAAAAGCCCCGAGAAGACCGGTGAAGGTGAGTCCTCTTAGCTGATCGTCTCAGCTTTAGGCTAATAGTTTACTAACACAACTAGTCGCGGCCTTATTTAGTTTGCTACTGTAGTTGAGGCATCATAAAATTATGTTTTAGGAACTAACCCAACACAAAGATAACAAAAGTGCAGAAAAATCTGTGAAATCTGCAGAGAAAGTTAGGAAAATCTCTGAAAAAGGCTGGATAACAGCAGCTAAAGACCCCAAAACAATAGATAAAGTTCCCAGAATAGCAGAGAAAGAGATGAAATCTATTGAAAAAGATGGGATGGAAAATGATCAGTATGACGTTGAAGGACAATTTCAGGACCTGGTTGAGCACAAGGGACAAAAGAGCAAGGTCTCGGAACCCCTGCGACAGTGCAACGAAATACTTAAGGTTAGTAGAAGACGCGATTTCTCGATTCTGTTTTGATAATTCCAGTAGATCTTCTTATATTCGAACACAAAAAGTTTACGTATAGATCTTCAAAATGTCCCTGAAAAAGGTATACAGTATACACTTTGAAATAGTTTGGTATCTATTTGCTTACGTCAAAATCATACCATAATTCTTGGACGCTTTTAAAGGCTGGAAATGTCTCGAACCTTCCTTGATCCTTTTTCAAAAGCGCTTTTTTACGAGTTTTTACTGGCTTACTTTCTACATTAAGGGTGAAACATTTTTCTGGAATCATATTCAAGAAAGAAAAAAGTATTTTTCTTTTAATTCTAAGAAATGTTTTCAATATTTCACAAAAATTTAAAATGGCCATTGGAAATGGGGTTTAATGATAATAAGGGTCTTTTGTAAGTGTAAAAATAATATTTTTTCTCCAATAATCTAATCAATTAGTTTTTAATAAGTTTTTTAATATGTTTTGTCTTTGATATGTTGTTTTTGATATGTTTTGTAATTTGATATGTTTTGTATTTTGATATGTTTTGTATTTTGATATGTTTTGTAGTTTGAAATGTTTTGTATTGATATGTTTTGTATTTTGATATGTTTTGTATTTTGATATGTTTTGTAGTTTGAAATGTTTTGTATTGATATGTTTTGTTGATTGATATGTTATGTTCTGATATGTTTTGTTGATTGATATGTTATGTTCTGATATGTTTTGTGGAAGATATGTCTTGATTTGCTATGTTTTGTTTTGATACGTTTCGTTGGAATATGTTTAGTTATGGTATGTTTTGTATGTGCTCCAAAAATTTTTAAAAGTGAAAATAAAAAGATGAAAAATTTTGATTCGGGTATTGATTTGTAAATTGATTTGAACTCGAGCATTCAAACTGGGTTCACCAATACTCGTATCAATTTACACCTCAAAATTTTAATTCTCACCTTCTTGTGTTTTTTTTGCATTTCTTTTATCATTAAAACCTGTTTGCGATGGCCATTTTGAATTTTTATGAAAAATACCTTTTGCAAACATATCTTAAAATTCCTAGAAGAATACATTTTTGGTTCTTAAAAATGATTCCAGAAAATGTTTCATCCTTATTCTGCATATTGATGAACCAATTGGTTTTTTTCTTTTATGAAAGTTATTACTTTGGAGAACTTGGAAATCTTCATTTAATGATGTTATAAAATATATACAGTAAATATTTTAAAAGAATTTGTATATTTTCTAGAATAATGTTTAATTAGGATATGTTTAATAAAAAACATGCTTCCTACGCCTGGCCTTTCTATAAACCAGTTGATACGGAGAGACTAGGCCTTCACGACTATCATAAAATAATCAAGGTAAACCGTACTTCTGTATTCTTACAGAATCGAACAGGGATATATTTAATTATTTTAATAATTCTTAATGCTAACTCATTTTTTCCTTTCAAGTATTCTCCTCAAACCCCCCCCCCCCTGAATAATATCAAGCATCGAACGGTGTAAACTGTTTCTTCGTTATTTTTGACTAATAAATTTGTTTTAAACACAGTAAAAAATAAAATTTGAGTAAGATTTATTTGAACTATCTAATGCTTATTTATTTATAATTGACAACATTGAATGATTTAATATGCAAATAATATAAAAATTTTAGTTTATTCCAATAAGTAAAGAAACGATAGCTTCCTATATAGCATATATTTTGATTATTTCCCCTGACAATACTAATTTTGAAATATTTAGACACCCATGGATTTGGGAACAGTTAAGCGGAAGTTAGACAACAGGGAGTACATTACTGTAGGAGAGTTCAAATCTGTAAGTATGTTCGCTAGTAGAAGAGGATCATGTTAAATTGATCAAGTCTTGTGATGCCCTAATAGTTTTTAACAGTGCTTGGGATCCGGATCCGTTGGATCCCCAAGATTTTGGCTTCCTGGATCCGGATCCGCAAAAATATGCGGATCCACGGAGTAAAATATTAACCAAAAACTGCCAAAAAAACTTTTTTACTCCAAAAACCCAAATCTGAACTTTTGAAAAAAGAGATATTATAAAAACTTTATAGTACGTCGTGCCAAAATAATAGTGTCATAGGTAATTTTTGGAAACGTTTGTGTACTTGTTTTATTTCAATGGCTATTTATATGTATCAAATAAGCTTTGAAACAAAGCAGAAGTAAAAAAAAAGTTCATTTTTAATTTTATTTCCATTTCAATTGAAAACAAATTATTTAAGAAATATCCTAATTTTTTTAGAGAAAATTCGGGAACCAATCAAAACTTTATAGCTCATGTGCTATAATGTACAGCTAATTTAACTTTATAGAACGATGATTACTTAATAGCACGTTCATTATAAAATTCACGATGAAGTGAGTAAGTTAAAGTACACAATAGTTTCATAAAATGTATATTTAAACAAAATTATTACAAGATTGTAAATAACATCGATTGTTCTATGATTATCCTTTTTGCCGATTTAATGTAAATTGTTTTTTACAATTTATTTTTAAATTAAAATTTTTTAATAGAATTATTTATGTAAATTATTAAATGTGACCATTTAGTTCGATTTTTTTTTTCAGTGGAAAAGTAAAGACCGTTTTTAAGACTTCACTTGAATAAGAAAATGAAATATGAGACATAATTACGAACCATTTTAGATCTAAGGAAAGTTAAAATCTAATCATGAAATGATAGTTGTCGTGTTTCTAGGACGTGTTGTTAATATTCCTGAATTGTCGGCAGTACAATCCCCCCGAGCACGACGTGGTCGGTATGTCCAGGAAGTTGGAGGAAGTGTTTCTTGAGAAGATGAATCAGGTTGGTTAAATTTCAATTACATAAAGGTACATATTTTGCATATTTAAAAACACAGAATACTATTTTTTAACTAATTTCTTCTGAAACATAGTGCCCAATTAAAGTTAGGATTGAAAAAAGACTTGATAGTGTGGTACGCTCTGCTGTTTTGTTTCTTCATTCAATAACATTGTATTCTTTGTATTTTCAAATAGGTTCCAACAATCTCATTAAAAAACAATATACAGGGTGTCTAAGAAACGGTGAATAAGGGTCTACACTCTACAGACTCGTTCGTAATAGGATTTTCAAGATTAAGACCATTTTTTTTGATCTACGTACAATTTCCTCCGATTCAATAAGCCAAATTTTAGGCTTGTAGATCTAATAATGGCAATTTTAATTGAAGGCTCATAAAGTTTCTAACAGGAGAGAGTTATTTTGTAATAAAATAAGTTTATCTCCGTTTGCACAATTTTGTATAAGGGTCTACAGACTTGCTTGTAATCGCATTTTCAGGATTGAGACCATTTTTGATATCTACGTATAAACGCCGATTCAATGAGGCCAATTTTAGGCTTGTAGATTCAAAATTAACAATTTCATTGGCTCCTAAAGTTTCCAACTGGAGCGAAGTAACAAGTAAAAGATAATCTCTGTTTGCACAATTTTATATTCAATGTTAACGTTACAGTGTTTTACAGTACAATTGTTATTTTAAGATCTACAAGCCTAAAATTGGTCTCATTGAACCAGTAATTGTAAATAAATTTAAAAAATGGTCTCAATCTTGAAAATCGGGTTACAAATGAGTCTGGACACCATTATTCCCCGTTTTGAGACATCCTGTACATAAAAATATTGTTATGATTCTTGGTAATATAGAAATACTCGCATAAGTAAAACTTTGAGAGCCTGCATTAAAAGGGTTTTGTGTAAATAATTAAATTTAAATTTCAGTTAAATTCGGATGAATTAATAAATGTGCCATCTACTCAAGTTGTTTCATCAAGGCTACAGGTATAAAACAGGGTCGGTCAACAATCCAAAATTTAATCAAAGCTTCATATTTGGTATTTCATTTGTTGGTTATTTCAAATTCAGTTTTATGCTTACTTGACAGTTGTTCCCATGATTTTTGCCGACTGTTATTTTAATTAAAGGCAACCTATCCACTAGCCCACTGTTTTAATTCAAGGACTGTATATTATAATGTATCCCTCTGTATAGTTCTGTACAGTACTTAAATAGTAGTCTCGTCTTATTTCTTAGTCTCGGTAAAAACAATCCTTAGTCAAAAATCCTCTATACCCCCCCCCCCCCCAAAGAGGACCACTGCCCCTACCCCTGAATCCGGTAACAAAGGTTGTATCTAGGGTGTAGGTGTGAGTGGAGATACTGGCTCAGAATCTGAGGGAGCAGGCTCAAGTACTGATTACAACAGGAGGCTTAGAATAGTTCAGGTATAAACTATATATTCAGCTAAAAGAAATATATTCTGTAATATTCAAAAACGTTTTATGTAAAAAAGTGGACTATTTAGAGGGATTGTAAGCGTAATTTTAAGTGACCCCCCTAACCCCCCACTCAAAGATGGCATGGCCCGATTCTCTAAGGTGTGAAAGATTTTAAGATTTTTCAAGGTTTAAAAGTATTTAATTCTAACGATACCCATATATTTCCTGCGGTAGAAATGCGCAAATCACTTAAGTAAGGAAATCACAATTGAAAATAATCTGTTTTCAAAATGCTAAAAATTGATATCTAATTCATGCTTAATCAGACAAAGCTTTTTCGGGTATCATTGTAAATCGGGCATTGCAATCTTCTTTAGGGTCAATCGAAATTACTCGTAGAATCCATTTGAATAGTCCTCTCTCCCATTTAAGCATTTTCGCAAATAAATTAATCTCTCTATTTTTCCAGGAACAAATGCGTCAGCTGAAAGAGCAAATTGATGTTTTACTGAAAGAAAGTGCAGATCGGAAACGTCTGCGCCAACCAGACAACGCTCATCTCACTGCCAGCCTAAGCAGTGTAAAGAAGAAGGAACGAACCACCCCATCTCCCGCCCCTCGTCCTATAACACCTGCTGTAGCAGGTATGGATACGCCTAAAGGTCGAGGGAGAGGCCGTGGAACACCTTCTGGACCCCTATCTTCAAAGAGACCAAAGAAGGTTCCAGTTGGACGAGGAAGACCACCACCTGTTCCTGCTCCTGTATCCACCGGACCAATCGCTGAAGGTATATCACATTTTTCTCGTTCAAATAATTCTTTGTATTTTTCACACAGAAAGAGGTTGGTTGATCTTGCTCTTTAATCTTAACATTTTAAAAGAAGCTTTAAAAAATTTAAATAGTTTTGGGGCCTTAAATGAAACAGTTAAAAAAGGTATTGGGAAGAGAAATCAAAAACACCAATTTAGCGGCCTAAGATAGTCTTAACATTCATATGGTTTTAAATGTCCAATAATTTTATTTTGACATTATTTTATGTGCAATTACATGTGATTAAATATTACAATGTTTTACATATATTACGGCGTTACATGTTTGCGGATTGGTTTTTATGAAAAATAATTTTAATTCAATTTGGAAAACACAGCTTTATGGGAACATTTCTAAGATGTGATTTGAAAACTTTGGATCATAAGAATTCTCTTCTTAAATTGAAAGGAATAACTCAATAGAGTTTTTTACTCGTGTTTATCTTTTAGATGTTAAATAATATTTTACCTGAATTGTACATGGATACTCGGAAATAAAATTTGAAATCCTAGTAACGTGGAAAAGTTGGGGAATTTTTTGCGAAGAATAATTGTGATGTCCTAGAAAAGCTTTTTTTATCAAGTTTTTCTGATTGGCAACAACTGTGGTGGCCTTATAGAAGTTAAATGCACACATAAGTCTACATTATTTTTATCATATTACCTTACTGTCAAGAAAAACGGTTAAAAAGGGTCATTCTTTTTAAAGTCAGCCACCCCATGAAAGTCAGTGTCAAGATTTCTTCAATCTTTGCTAACGCCTTGCTTCCACGACCTTGACTTCCTTAATTATCAAAGACTAAATGACCCTAATTGCTGGTAGTTAGGATTTAGGAATATTAAGAGGACTAGATGAAAATATAAATATAATCATGAAAAAGGTTAGTTAAAAGGTTGCAATAAAATATAAATATAATCATGAAAAAGGTTAATTAAAAGGCTGCAATAAAATATAAATATAATCATGGAAAAGGTTAGTTAAAAGGCTGCAATAAAATATTAAATATAATCATGAAAAAGGTTAGTTAAAAGGCTGCAATAAAATATTAAATAAAAAGAAATTCTAACAAATAAGGACTAGAAAGAATAAAAATATTCTGTAACTGAACTGTTCTTCTCTAGGTGGAAGTGCTGACTACCAATCAGACGAAGAGGATACAGCGGTACCCATGAGCTATGATGAAAAGAGACAGCTTAGCCTGGATATTAATAAACTACCAGGGGAGAAGATTGGACGGGTAGTCCATATTATCCAGGTAAACTTTGCTTTTCCTGTAATTCCCACTTAATTCTATCACGATTGGGCTGTTTTTGTCTAATTTATATGGGGNGGTCCTAGCTCATTAAATACAAATTAGACCTCAACTTTAATGGTTATGGTTCTTAATGTTTTTAAAAATTAATATTACACCCATTTTCTAGAAAAATTTTTGGCCTATTTTGATTTTTTTAAAACACCGACCAGCCGTTTAACCGTCGTTATAGGGTTCATAAGAAAATATTGCCCTTTTTTAAAAATATGAGAGGAAAATTAAACAATCTATATGAAAATGCTCTTTGCTCATAATTTTAGTATTTATTAAATATATATATATGTTCGCTATAGCTGGCTAACGGCTGGACCAAAAATTACTGAAATTTGTTTAGGGAATCTATGGGTACCTTGGGGGTAATTTTAATACCTGGGTATTTCCGAGCACTCTTCAGCTAATATGTTATATTTTCAGTCTCGTGAACCATCCCTTCGTGAGACAAATCCTGATGAAATAGAGATAGATTTTGAAACGTTGAAGCCCTCCACTCTCAGAGAACTAGAAAAGTATGTACACGGATGCTTAAAAAAATCGGGGAAAATTGGCCGTAAAACGTTTGAGGAAGGCCAGAAAAAACCGTCTAAAGAACAGTTGGACGAGAAGGAGTCAGAAATCAAGAAGCGTCTAGACGAAGTGAATACATCCCTAGGGGGTGCTCCAATAAAACCTAATAGGCCGCGGAAGAACAAGGAAGGATCAGGTTCAGGTTCAAACCCTGCTAAGCAGAATAAAAAGGCCAATGCGTCCGGTGGGAAAGGATCCGGTAGTGACAGCAATAGTTCTAGTAGTGACAGTAGTGATTCTAGCGACTCAAGTGACTCAAGTGATGATGAGGGAGCTGCCCCTGCACCCCCTCAAACCCCTCTTGTAAACCCACCTTTGGTTCCACCTATTGCAACCTCAACCCCCAACAACCCGCAACCCGAATCTGTCTCAAGGCAGAACTCTCAAGCTAATAACGCTCTGAAAATAGCTGTAAGGAATGATTTAATGCCCTCTGGCAATTCTATTGCCCCCTTAAGTCCTACCCCTGAGCCTCCAGCACCGATTGCTCCCCTAGTTCCTGAACCCCTCGCAGCACTACTAGAAGAGCCTCCTCAGCTACCGGTCCTGGAAAAACCACTCAATAATGGAACTCACCATGATTTGTACAAAGGTAAACCAAAATCTATATTTTGTACAAAATTTAGAAAACTAATAAAAGGCAATTATTTTTGATTAAAAATATGTTCAGTATGTTTTCTGTTAAGGTCCAATTGGTGTAATAAACCCCATAGATCATGGTAACCAAGGTGGCAATGGTGGTGTTCCTATGGTTGAACCTTTGTTTAATCCTCAATCTGGATCCCCTCCTCAATCCTTCAACCCAGAAACTCCACAGGTACCATTATTCCTTTAAGCTAAATAATGACGCTCTGAGAAGTGAAGGATATTCCATTTTTGCAACGTTAACACCAAAATATCCAAATATTAACAGCCCGAATGATTCGTAAATGTGAAATAAACCGTTCTGTTTCTCGAAGGTATTGTTAACTTTTTTTTACGAAACCTTCCAATTTACAGTGACATCATTGATTAAAAACAGCAGTGATTGTAAATTATCTTCATTTTTTTATATAGCTGCTTTTCTAAAAAGCGGTTCTTGCTAGTTTTTTTCAGTTATCAAACTAAGGCGCACCGTTGCTAGCACTCTAAAATAGAAGAATACTTAAAATTGCATTTATCCTTTAAAATCAGAATCAATTTAGATATAAGATAAAGCACGAGTTAAGGAAAAAAAAACTTAATTATATTTATCCAGGGAACGAAGGGTGTTCTGAAGGGTTGGTCTAGCCTAGCTGGTACTCCAGCTACTCCTGGTAGTGCTGGAGGCCCCCCGGGTAGGAATAGAAGCGCCACAACTGATACATTTGCCGCCTTCCAGAAGGCCGCCAAGGAGAAGGCAGACAGGTTAGTTTAATTATGCTCCCACAAGGGTTAAACTTTAAGCAAATCCCTTGGCAAGCTGCCATTAGTCAGTTAGATTTTAAGATATTAATCTTTTTTTGTGACTTATTTGTGAAAGATTAACCATTTACAGTTTACACACCCAGCTACACGTAGTGTAAATCGTTATGGATCATTGAAATAAAAATTAATAAATCTTAAACATTTCAAAACTCTATTATGATAAAGTTTGTTTTCATTAAATTTTGCAATGTCTTTATACAAGACAAAAAATGAAAAATGAATAATTTTTGGGTTGTTTTTGCATATATCTTCAGTCAGTGTCAAATATTGCAAGAAAGGCAAATGTTTATAAGCTTTAAAAAAATATCATTGAACATTATGTGAAATTTTGACCCTGAAAAAAAGTAAAGGCAAAAAAACGGCAAAAAAACGAATCAACTGAACGCATATCTTTTTCATCTTTTTTGATACTTTTTGCCCAAAATCTTATTTATAATATTTTCCCTTAAAAGTATTATTACCCCCAATTCAGCGAAAACCCCTTGTTAAACAAAATTGTTGCCTCTCCGCGCAAACATAACGAACATCACAAAAAAAGTTTTTTGAAAGGGAAAAAATTAACTTTAAAGGAAATATTTGTTCAACCAATTAAATGAATAAAATTTATAAGATATCTTGAAAAATCGTTTAACCACTTCCCCTTTTGATAATAATTTTTCCTCCAATTTCAAATAAAAGATTTTATTTGAGACATGACGCAAATCATCTTTTTTCCCAGGGAGCGTAGCTTAAAAGAGCAGCAGGAGTTGAGCAGGAAGGTTAAAGAAAGAAGAGAAACAGAACGACAGAGAGTTGAACAAGAGAAGAGAAAGGAACAGGAGGAAGAAACATTACCTGTTTTTTAAAGTTATGGATTTGGGGCAAAATATGATTCTGAAGGGGGGGGGGAATATTTGTCTCAAAACTAATATACACGCCTGTCTTGAGATATTAATTTTGTCGTTCAAATCACTGTTACAAAATGCTTTTATTATTATGAAAGTCTATTATATTCTTTACTCCTACGGAAGGTACACCAGAAACCTGAGGCCGAATTCAAAGAATTTAAGCGGCGGCTTAATATTAAGCCGGTGCTCAAATAGGGTTGGTGCCAATTAAAATTGAATTCAATTTTTCAAGATTTAAGCCGGCGCTCAATTGAAACCGGTTTTTGGGGTTTTTGAGACACTAAATTCGGACACTGAAGTAACAAAAGTCGAAACGTGATCATTTCTGGTCTGAAAATTTAGCCTCGACTGTCTGACAAATAAGTATACGGACAGTTTTTTTAATAGACGGGGTGATAACTTTTTACTGAACCTGAAATATTTGCTTGTTATTTACTATCACCGTTTCAATCAAAGTTTCCACGTTTTAATTTCTTAAAAATCTTTATTTTTGACTCGCTGTTTTAGCCGCACTTTTTGTAAATTATATTATAAACTAAAGAATTGAATTGAATTGACGACAATTTAAATATTTAATCAAATGAGGGGGGGGGGGAATTGACATTTTTTGACACCAAATTTTGTACAGACTGTTCTTTGCTGTAGACAGATTTGACGCATAGGATTCCCTGATGTATTTTCATAGCATAATCAGAATACAAAAAATTTACGAACATCGTTCCCATTCTTTTATAATCCTTTCTCCTTCCCATCATAGAGGGAGGGTAGGGGGGATTGAAGTTTTATCACTGAAGTGGGGAAAATAAATTATTTCTTTCTGATAAAAATTGTTAAAAAGAAGGAAACAAAACAAATTATCTCTACTTTTTTATTCAAGTATTCAAAAATGTGTTTCTATTTTATTTCTTATAGGCTAGAAGAAGTATGATGAGTGCCGTAGTTCCACCCACTAGTAGACCTGCCCCCACTCCGCCAGCAGTCCGCTCCTCCTCATCTCCTGTATCCAGGCCAGCACCAGCTGCCCCACCCACCCCTGTACTCGCGCTAACTCCGCCCCCAGTACAACCAGGTAAACATGGATGACGGATGGTGTGGGAAACTTATTCAATTCTTGATTTGATTTGTGTGTCAAGTATTTTGTATTTGCTGTTTCAACCAAATAGTAATAAACATTCTGTTATGAATTAATCAGTTCAATCAGAACAAGAAAATTTCAAATATTAGTTTTATTAAAATATTAATAGTCATTCTCTTTAGAACTCGCATTGAATTACAGTGTCACTTAAGATGACATTAACTACCACTTTTTGCAGTCTTTTAACTGTTTGCTTTAGTTGTTACTGCAGCTGATCTAGCCCGCCAGGAACGTGACCGTCAGCGGCAGAAGGAACAGGAACGGCGGAGAAGAGAGGCGGAGGTAACCATTTTTTTAATTGAACTTCAAAAAAATTTTGTATGATCAATATTTATTGAAATTGAGATGCGACTTCATTTATTATTGTCACTTTCCTTCTCCTTCCTTTTCCAAAATAAACATTAATTTACGAATTTTGTATTTCAGAAGAACAAGATCGATATGAACCGACAGTCGGACCTTATGGCGGCGTTCGAAGAGAATATTATTTAGTTTAAATATATATATTTTCATATATATATAAATATATTGTCCAAATTAAACCTTTTTATACAGATGTTGATAAATTTATACAAAAGAAACACAAAATTAAATTCAAATGTTGTAAGTAATCACACCAGGCTGCAAAAATTTCAAGTTAAAATAATCATCCCATAGGTTCTGATAACTGGGAGGGGGTTGGGGGGGGGGGGTGCTACTATACGGTCCCAGGTAACTCCCTAGCTATCTCATCAAATCAAAAAACTTATCTTCTCAAGAAATATTGATAAATTAATTGAAATAATATTTTTCTCTTAAACTTCCCATGTTAACAGTTTTATCTCCTATTCCAAGGAAGCTATAGACAAGATAAAAATATTTTTAGAATCTCAAATCTGACATGAAATATCTGTTTTTATAACTTCTAATTTTTACACTAATACTGGAGGCCTTAAAAGGACTCTAAAGATTTCCATTTTTATTTATGTCCATTTGAACAAATTTCACCGATTATTAAAGATTGATATGTAATAAATTTGAATTTTTAATGATCTGCAACCTTTTCAAACATTCAAAATAAAAGATTTTTTTATGGCGAAGTAACGATAAGTTGTGTTAATAACATGCTCGATTTGATACTTCTTTTTTAATGATGAAGGAGAATTTTTTTATTCATTTTAACTAAGCAATCAAAATTAAACTTCGGACAAAAAATACTCTTTTAAGAAGAATAATTATTTTACAACCTAATTAACAATTCATGAACAAGATTTTGTACTGAAAGATGTACTAATTAGTTTTTTAGATTACAATAAAAAATCCAGAAGTATTTTTCCATAAAAGCGCTTATCTAAGAAATACGAACCAGCTTAGTTTGAATACAAATTATTAGTATAAATTATTTTCTTTTTAAAGCATATTGGAGCTACCAGAGCTGTGGCAAAAAAATCTGCTAAATTTCAAAATTATATAAATTATAAATTTACATATAAGAGGTATGAAAAAAAAATTCTTTGCTTTCAGAATTCTAAAAACATTTTTTCTTTTCCATAGCTTGCTTGGAATTTGAGGCATGACTGTTAAATTGGCAAACTTTTCAGAAAAATATTATTTCAGTGAATTAATCAATATTGCTTGAGAAAATAAGTTTTCTGATTTTGTTGAGATAGCAAGGGAGTTACCCGGGACCACCTAGAAGCACCCCCCGTTGTCAGAACTTATTGGATAATTATTTTAACTTAATTGTTTGTAGCCTGGTTTGTATAATTGTAACCCTAAAACAGGGTGAGAGCATTTATAAACCCATTTCCTTAAGGTTTGGTTAATCTTTTGGCTTCAGGACGGATTTATTTTTTCCCCCTCTGATGAGTATTAAATCCCGTTATCAAGAATGTGTCAAGATATTTATTCAAAATTATACATGAAGCTCTCTGGCATCTTGATAAATGATTCTCATTAATTTCTATAAAGATCCCATCAATGAACTTTATGTCGCTCATTCTCATTCTAAATTAATTCTTTAGTTTAAAATGTTGAGGATTAATTGTTCCTTCGTTTCCCTTCATCAATAAAACGATGAGAAATTCTTCACATTGGTTCTTTTGTGATAATATTATTTATATTCTACAAGTTTACCACATAATTATGTTAATTATATATACACATATATATATATACGTTTAAAAACATTCATTGTACGAGCTAGCTGGTCATGTAAAAAGCCAAAATTATGTTGTTTAAATCTCGTGAAAAAATTCCTACAGTTTTCGTATTCATCAGCTTTCTACATTGTGAAGATAAAGTTCGTAATTTCGTTGTCAATATAATGTTTTGTTTGGTGCCAGCCCTGTAGTTAATAAAATTATCATTATCATTATTACANGTTTGCTGATGTAAACTTTCGACATATATATTTATCTTTATACAGATATATATAATATACAAATATCAAATATATTTATCTTTATATAGATATTTATAATATACAAATATCAAATATATCCAACATTTTTTGAAACTCAACGGGGTGGACTTTCGGTGTGGTATAAATTTACGTACATTCATTAACGTAAATAGAATAAGTTTATCAATTACAGAAAACCATATCTTACAATATTTAGGAGTTTTGGTCGCCAAAGCAGTACCGTACTTTTGCGGGTAAGCTTTGAGCGGGGAAAAAAATAATTTATGTAGATATATTAAATCTTAAAAGTGCAATGGTTTAGTTTTAAATCCTGAAAAATATAAGAATAAATTTCTCAGATCTAGATCTTCCCTCAAGCACTTTTGAAGAAGTATGCGTCAATATCTCGGTGTTTCATTTTATCCGTTTTCTAATTTGAACTGGTTTTTTATCTAGGGCGCAAATTCTAGATTGCTTATACTTTCTATTTCTACGAGCTAAAGGTAGAGAGGATATTTTAAAACGCAACCAGGGGGGGGGGGTTAAAATAAGACAAGGAAAAAATAAAACGATTTTATAAAAATAATAATCTATATAAATTGGATAATGGAAAATATACAACCCGGGTTACACAAACAGAGTTTCATTGATGTTTATCTATTAATGGTTTTAACGGGAAACATTTCGAAAAATGACCCGACGCAGAATTTCTTCTGGGGTAATTAATCGCTTCAGCCTTCCTAGCTATGTACATCCTTAAAATCATCTCTGGATTATTCAGCAGATCGACCCATCCAGCATCCCAGAACAAACAATAAAGTTATATAGATGGATCTCCTCCAAAAACTTATGTACTTAACACTTCGGCCCTAGTGGAGGCAACCTGTGACTTTCGATCTTAATTTGAATTAATTAAATTGAAAAAGTACAAAAGAAAATTCTGTAATTTTAAAGATTGGTAAATTCTAAATCAAAATGCTAATGAATTAAAATTGAAAAAAAACCGAACACATATCAAGCTCTAATTAATCAGGGGTTATATATACAATACGGAAAGCTAAAGTAATTTTGCTCTAAATTAAGCAATTTTCAAAATATCAAACCTTAGCACTTTTTAGTGGTTCCAGGTGAAACTTAAGATATACTCATATCAACATGTTTGGATTAAATTAGGGATACGATCTACCCTTGGTCATCTATTTTAAACGCTTGCAAAAAGTCAGAAATAATTTTTTGTAGTATTATTGAATAAACTAATTTCGTTAAGTGATGAAATCTTTTCAAGAAAAAAAGTATATTGTCCCAGACTTCGCTTTTTAAAAATAACCGTAAAAGTAGTTATTTTTATTGTTTATATTTTGTGAAGTTTTTGAGTTTTTTAAACACTTTTTTTAATTTTTAAAAAGTTTTTACAAGTTTGCTGCTGGTCCCTTTAGCTGAAAGATTTAATGTCCAAAAAACAAAAATCGGTTGAAAGCTATAGCTATGGCTCAATATTGCCCAAAAAACTAATAAAAACTCTTAGAACACATTTCTGAAGAATTTTTTGCACTCTAAATGTCGGTAACTTGATTCAGAAACAGGGGTGTGAGTTTAAAAAGAAAATATTTGCTACTTTAAAGGGAGTGACCGGCTATGCATTGTAGTTGAGCTGAGTATGTAGTATGTGGAAAAATTCTTCAAGATCGATTTTAGACATATAAAACGCTTCTACGGCGTATAATTACTGAGTTTGAGCACAAAGGCAACGTATAAAATCGTCTATTTGGTTTCTGAAATATGTATATATATTATCATACATTAGAAAAAAAGAATTTATTTCGTCAAAAATATTAATTCTAAATGATTGATTGAGCGGAGAAAATTACCGTCTTCATTCGTAGATTTTCAATTGAGAATTTTTTAAAACTAACTTTACTTTAAAAAAATTAGGGTAAATTGAACAGTGTTGCTTCTATTTTTTCAACCTGTTTCTATTTATGCCAATAGTTTGTTGATGATTTTTTCTTACATTTTTTGTCGTCATTATTAAATAATAAAAAAAACAATTCTCAAAACGTATCCATGCCCAAAACGACAATTTTGAAAGTCGACTTTGCGCTCAAACTCAGTATTTATACGTCGTAGAAACGTTTTATATGTCTCAAATGAATCCTAAAGAATTTTTCTACAATACTACATACTCAGCTTAACTACCATACATTGCATCCCTTTACTATCTCCGTTATAACATGTCTTTGAATTTAAAAAATACAGTTTGATTCAATTCAGCACTTTATAAACTAAATAAACGGTTAAAAGGAGAAAAAAATCTAAAAAGTGAAACCAAAAAGATTTTTTAAAATGAGGAATCTAGCGGTTCAAAGAAGAAAAAATGGCATAAAAAGAGTTAAACCAGCGGTTGAAGGAAAAAAAAATTATGTAAAAAATGTGATTACTGCGGTTTTTATAAAAAATGGATTCCAGCTGTAGAAGGATAATGATGAACCCATGGCAGTTGAAAAAAAAGAAAAAAGTTGCATTTAAAGTTTGCCATTAAAGACAGCCAATATTGGCTTGGCAAATCCCGTCATTAAAGTGTTTGTTTAAAAAGTATAACTATATGTAAAATTATGAACTTTAATGATAACATATATATCTATCTAAGAGTTGAACCAGCAGTTAAAGGAAAAAAGTTGTTAAAAAATTTTTAATTTGAAAATAAATCTGCTGTTTTGTTAAAGGAAAAGTAACACAAATGTAAGCAGCCTCAAACCTGGCTAAATTTTTAATTATGCACTAGTACATGTAATTGTTAATTGTAAAAATATTTAGTCAAATATATTTATTTATATATCTATCTGTCTATATCAAACCTGTTTTTATTCTAAATATGTTCCAAGATGGTATACTGTTTACCCCGTGCCGCAAAAACATGTATATTAGATCAGCGTGTACGACACTAGGTACATTTTGAAAAGAAACGTTTGTACGTAATGTAATCTGTGTATCACTTTATGCCAACATTTTTGAGTTTTAAAATTTGAACCTCAAGCATAAAATTGTGAATGTCATGAATTGGCATGACATATATAAAGATTTCTAATGCACTACACTTTCTGGTTTGTTTTAAATTCATGCAAGAAATTAAAAGTAACTGTAAGAACGTGACTAAATCAATTGGGTCAAAGAGGCGAACATTTTAAAGAATTTACTGTTTAAATTAAATTTTTATAAATAAATTTCTAAGTAAATTTTATAAATATATTATTGGTATGTTTCCATTAGAATTTTATTTAATGCTCCACGAAACACATCATGGAAATGTAGTACCTAAGAGCCTATTTCTTTGTGTTATATAAGCATATAAAAACGTTATCTTTCTAAAACATTGAATTTAATAAAAAGTTATGAATCTTTTTGCTTTCTATTAATCTTCTCAGAAATATAACCACTGATAGATCTGCTGCAAATTTGAAATTGATCGTTACTAATAAAACTACAAAATCAATGTTTTATCTATATGCAGGGGATATTAGTTCCAAAACTAACACTTGACCCATTTCTAATACTGAGTGTTAGAAATGGGCCAAATCTGCAAAGTTATCTTTACGGTATCTATCTTTAAATCCAAGACGAGTAGAAGAAAATTACACCATATATTTATAAAAAATGGCTAAAACTATTGTTGAGCCCTCTATGGAAGATCAAATGGGCGTCTAAGAACATCAAGAGGATTTCCCCGGAGAGGTCGGAGCCCAGGTTATTGTCCCGGGGCGTCTATAAATTCATCAAATTCACTTTTCCCACTCTCACTACTGAAGTAGTCGACTATAATCCAGCATTGATTTATTTCCAACCTAAAAACAATTACATTAAAAGATGAAATATTTATGACATGCATGGTTATGAATAATAGTGGGTTTTAAAAAAATCTTACTATTGGGCGCAAGTGGATTAAATGGGGATTCTAGTGATCAGGAACAAAACATTTAAACTTCTGAAAATAAAATGACAGTTTGGTTTTAAAAATTTGTTCACTTCAAATCAGGAATTTTTAAGTTTTTCTATTTAGAAATGTGATCACTACACGAGGGGGTTGTTTATAAAATTCTGCCGGAGCTATGAAAATGTTGGGTTTGGCCACCGAAGAAAATCTTGTTGAAAGACGACCTTAAATTTAAAACTAATAATAGGGTGTTAGAATTAGTTTTTGATGATTCTTGATTTTATTTTGAACATAACCCTATTTTGAAACAATTACCGGATTTCAACTCATGTCGCGTTTTCGGAACATATCCTGGTTTTGAGGCAATTACCGGAATTCATATCAATTATCAATATCAATTTCTAAGCATTTGCGCACTTGCGTAACAAAACAAGATCTTTTGATAAGGTAAAATATTAACAAAATAGAAAATAAAAACAAACTGTTATTTTATAACAGCTTTGAGAAATCAAAATATCAATATCATTTGTTTTTACAATATAGATTTAACAAGAAATGCATGAAACAATTTGTTCAAAATGCATGAAAATAAATCATCTATAATCTCTCTTAATAGATAATATGTGGAAACTTAGATTCTAGAAATAATTCAGAAGTCAATTTAGTCTTCATAAGATATTTTTTGTTTTCTGTGAATTATTTTGTAATTTATGAAAGTAAGTTTTGTTTCTAATTGTGGATTATACTCAAAAACGGGAAAGTGGGTTTCGTCTCGAAAACGCGACAAAGTTTTAAATTCAAGATATGTTCGAAAATGGAAAACCTGACATTGTCTTAAAAACGATCAAGAGATTTAATTTAAAAAGAAAATTTAAAATTGGGAATTGTTGTCCTCGTCATGTTTAATAAAATGTTGGTTATAGTTTTTACTATCGACTATCGACGACCTCTATTTTTGCAAACCATTGGCCGGGATCCCAAAAACCTAGTCTTTCCATTTGTGCCCATTTCTAACACTCAGTGTTAGAAATAGGCCAATTGTTAGTTTTGGAATTAATGTCCCCTGATAAAATGTTGATTTGTTTTTAGGTTTTAATGTTAAAAACACGTAACAAATAGAATTAATTGTTCTCCTAGAGTAAGTCCAGCAACAATTCTAAAGTTCTGTTCTCAAACTTCTATCCGCACTCGGCAGTCTGGGAAACCAGTTAAATCTGGTTTTTATTTTCTATCTTGTGTTTACTGCTACACCCTGGTAACAACAACAAGGGTTGAGAGAGATTTTAATTTGAGAGAAATTAACAGAATTTCAATTTAACAGAAATTAGGAAGAATAAGAATTTCAAATAAATTTTTTTTTTGAGCTAATACAGGGGGGATGACAGGGAAAATTGTTTCAAAATTTCTAAAAAAAAAAATACAGAAATTATCATTAATATCATTTATAAACCTTGAATCAAAGCATCAAACATATTTCAGACTGATGGGAAATACCAGTTCCCTTTAGGCCTTCTCTGAGTTAATACATTTTGCAATATTTCATATTTTGTTAATTTTCAAGGTTGGAAATGCTAGTTTAATTAAAGTAATATTTGATACTAGGTGTTCCGGCACGCTTCGCACCTCTTGTTATTTAAATAAATATCATTTAAATATAAGAAATTTATAAACTTTGTTTATATGACAGTTACAAGTGAAAATTTAATTCCGTTTAAACCTCGCTTCAACCAAAAATAGTTAAATTTGAATTCTTTTTAAATTTCCCAACTTTTTCTTGATATTTAATACAATAAAGATATGCATATATGTGTAAGATATGAAATTGAATAGAATTTTAAAGAATAGAAAGTTATGCATCTATAGATATTATGTATATACTAAATATATATATAAATACAGGTAGACCTAGATCTAGATATAGTAAATACAGGTAGGCCTAGATCTAGATATACTGTATACAGGTAGACATAGATCTAGACATAGTAAATACATGTAGACCTATATCTAGATATAGTGTATACAGGTTGACCTAGATCTAGATATAGTGTATACAGGTAGACCTAGATCTAGATATAGTAAATACATGTAGACCTATATCTAGATATAGTGTATACAGGTTGACCTAGATCTAGATATAGTGTATTCCGGTAGACCTAGACCTATATCTAGATATAGTAAATACAGGTAGACCTAGATCTAGGTATAGCATATACATGTAGACCTAGATCGAGATATAGTGTATACAGGTAGACCTAGATTTAGATATAGTGTATACAGATAGACATAGATCTAGATATATCATATACAGGTAGACCTAGATCTGGATATAGTGTATACAGGTAGACCTAGATCTATTTATAGTATATAAAGGTAGACCTAAATCAATATACAGTGTATATGTAGACCTAGATCTAGATATAGTGTATACAGGTAGACCTAGATCTAGATATAGTGTATACAGGTAGACCTAGATCAATATACAGTGTATATGTAGACCTAGTTCTAGATACAATGTAAAGGTAGAACAAGATCTATATATACAATGTACAGGTATTCCTAGATTTAGATACTGTGTATATGCAGACCTAGATCTAGATACAGTGTATATATAGACCTAGATCTAGACACAGTGTATATGTATACCTAGATCTAGATACTGTTTATATGTAGACTTAGATCTAGATACATTTTATATGTAGACCTCGATCTATTTACATTGTATATGTAGACCTAGATCTAGATACAGTGTATAAAATAATGAAAAGGTAGACCAATATCAAGATATAATGAAAAGGTAGATCAAAATCTAGATATATTGAAAAGTTAGACCAAGTTCTAGGCACTGTATAGTGTATATAGGTAGTGCTTGAACTATTTACAGTGTATTGTTAAAACTTGGTCAGCATTAACGTCTAAAATGATTTAGAATGCGTCTCCTGGTTCTGGTGGTGTTAGTCTGCGCTGCAGTTATGGCGGAGGGCAGACGGGGGCGGAACAAAAAGGAGCGGAAGGAGCGTGTCTGGCATGTTGCTACGGCGGAGGAGGAGTGTGGGAAATCGGTGCAGATGAATGAAGGTCATCCAACTGATCTGTGCACAGAGGTAACAAATCAAGATATTAAAATAAAACTTTTCCTTTAAAGCAATTAAAAAAAAAATTGAGAAAAGAACTGATTACTTACCACAAACTCTAATGAAATTTTCCCTTTATCTTTTCCACTGATGGTGAAAACCTTGGCTATTTAATCTGGAAGAATTCAATGTTTGAATTATGAAAGGATAAATAAATATATGAGGATTTATTCATTGGTGATTTAAATCAGACATTTGCATGCGAATTCAAATCAATACACTTTATTAAAACTACAATCTCGTTTTTAGGTTGATAAGGAAGTATGTATCTGCTCCAGTAAAGACGAGACTACATGGAAGTATGTGTGTGGGAAGTGTAGCTTGAAATGGAAGTAAGTTTGGACATGGTACAGATCTTAACTTAGCTGAAATCGATTTTGATCTTGGTTTGCTTCATGTTTTTTTCATTAATTAACCTTTTTTCCAGCTCCGAAGAGAAAGAAGAGGAAAACAAGGAAGGAGGAGAGAAGAAGAATAAAAAAAAGGTGATCAAAGAGAATGTGAATAAGAGACAGAAACTTCGATCCAAGCTCAAGGTTGAACTTTATGGGCAAATAACCTTTTGCCTGATTTTTTTAAAATTAGATTTTTAGAGCTTTCAGAAAATTTATCAATTTGAAAACTTTATTGATTAGTTAATTTACTATAAATCCTGACCGATAAATATTTCTAACAAATGTAAAGTTAAAATTTGCAATTAACTTTATTGCGGCATGGAGCAACTTTAACACCAAATTTTAAATTCAACAATTAAATGTATTTTTTTTTGTTCAGGAGAAAGCCAAGAAGGGAAAGAAAAATGAGAAACAGCACAAGAAAAGTAAAAATACTCACGAGGTATTGTTGCCTTATTTCTGTTTCCAACCCATTTCATTTAGCCCCTATTTGCACAGTTTACATGGAAAAACTGCTGTAAAAACTGCAAATTCAACTTAATATTTGAAGCAATTCACATTTTTAATGGATTATTACTTAAAGCTTGTCACTTTGTGTGTTGTATTAATTATCAACCATCTAATCACTTCAAACGGTTAATTTCAAACAAAAATATTTTTAGAATATCTCCGGGGGGAAGTTATAAAGAATATGTTTATTTCGTACAAAGAGAACAGAGCGCGTTAATAAGAAGAACAAGACTAAATTTTTATTTTTCAAATTAATTCCAACATTCATTAAGTTTTCTCATTTTTCTTTAAATCTTTTAGGAAGCTGATCCACAGATCGCAGCTTTGCTGAATCCGACTGCATCTACCTAGTAATCCAAACCAAATATTGTCAAATAAATGTCGTCGTTGATTATTCATTCCTTAGGAGAATAGTTTTTCTCCATTAGAAATTTTTAAGTTTAAATAAATCTTGATTTTGTTTTTTGTTCTTGCGGAAAGATAATTGTAAATTAGATTAGTGCTGTAAACGATTAAACGGAGTAGGACATTGTTTAACGGATGGAACTCGCACAATTTACCGCTCCATCATACTACACTTTTACTAGTATATTTCTAATGGGCTTGGCAAAATAAAAAATATGAAATATTGGCAACCCAAATCTATATACAAATATACATCCGTTGTGCAGACATTTAATAAAATGCACGCAAAAATCGAGTAATATTTTGCCAATTACTTCTTATAAACTTAAGCTAGGAACAAGCGTGTTGCATTTTTAAAATGTAAATGCCTAGAGCTACAAAAAAGTATAATCAAAAGTTTGGTGAGGTAAAACCAAAGGCTAAGGCGTTGCGACACTAGACTATCTTTCAGAGTTGTCTAAATCTCAGTGGTTGAGAGTAATGGTTAAGAGTTTGGTTGCTAGGTGTCTCTCCCACATGGAACCCCTCCTCAAGCGTTGATGAATACTATGAATTATCAACAATTTATAAATGAATCGAATTGAATTCGATATTTACAGGTTTTAATATCTGAATAATTAATTTAAAAACTAATTTCGAACTATTCACTATCAGATAATGCAACTCTCTGAATTTATATGAACGCTACTTTCGTAGGTATAAGACGTTTTTAACCCTTTTCTCCTTTTAGACGCAACAGATAAAAGTAAAATTAGTAGCGATTGATATTGAATTCAACCTATACCCCCTTTCATTTTTTGCGAACCCTCCCTTTAATAACGATGTCAACCATTCTATTTACGAAATACATTGACTATTTAATGTGTAAATCCCAATAAAATAAGAATAGAGAAACTTAAAGGAAATAAGCTGGGTATAATTTTTTTTATATTCTTACACAGACTAACCATCAGCAAAATCGGTACATTAAGTGACTAAGAATGGACATTGACATGGACATTCAAGTTAGGAGTTCAATATTTATAACTTAAAGTAGACATATCAAAAATATACACTCACTATACAGTATACAGTGAGATAAATTTTACTCTAGTCTTCTACAGAGGGAAACTATTTTTGTAATGTTTTATTAACAACTAGCTCAGAAACCCAGCGTTGCCTGGATTTTTTACTCTATAAAAGTCTACCAACTCAACTTAGAATTTAAAAAAATCTGAAAACATTCCCGTGGTTTTCCCAAGTTTCCCAATCAAAATTTGAGCCGAATCGATCTTATGTTCATGAGTTATGATCAAACAACATACATACAGACACACAGAGATTACTTCTTTATGTATACGGATCATAAATATGATTTCGATAAATAATTTTAGATTGAATTAAATCTAACAGATTTCGTAGGTCATGTTAGGTTAGATAGCTGAAAGGATTAAAAACAATATTGTTTCGGACACACATAAATATATTTTCATAAATAGTTAGAAAACAAATACAAAACATGTATTTATGCATTTTACGGTTATGGATAAAATAATTTGTGTGAGATTCTACCTACTTTTATGCAGAAACCCACAACATTTTTGCTAATTATTGCTTTTGCAGTTAACGTTGCAAAAAATAATTACAAACAATAGGATTGAGCATGAACTTCAATACTCAAAGTATTCATGATTCAGTCTCTTTAGTTTTAGCTTTTTCATCTGGAACCAGAATGTACGGATGTTAAGTCAGACAGAGGCGTATTAAGGGGTGGGGCTATGGGGCCCCTCTAGATCAGTGAAATCTATGGGATTCGGGGGGTTTCGGGGGGTTTTTGGGGCCACGGAAGCTAAGCCCCCTTGAAAGAAAAAAATTTAAGCCCCCCCATGGAAAAATTCCTGAATAAGTGCCTGAAGTCAGAGCCTTTAAACCAACTTTAAACATTGAATTATTTCTGTGAGACAACACAAACCAGTCAAAGTATCGAGCTTTAAAGTATTGGATCATCCCAGCCAGATCCCACAATCTCCGCTGAAGTAATTTTAACGCACTGCTTACTCCAAACCATAGACCAGTGTTAAAATTACAGTTTTAGGGTAAACAGTGCGAAGGACGGAAATACAAAGGAGTAGTGATAAATAGTAGTGTAAATGAATATGATAATGTACTTGAGCTATGCCAGGTGTTCGGTTAATTGATGTTTGGTATTTACCAAACCTAGTTTTGACTTCCAAAGAAAGTAAAGAAAACTTTATCAACAAGGTACTTTATACAGTGCGACCCATAATTTTATGAAGGAGGACGACGACATTCAAGTAATCTTATTTGTATTTATGTTAAAGCTAATATTTAACTTTATCAGTAGAAAAATTAACCTTTTAAGTGAAATGAGTTTGTGCACAGTTACCATGCACAATAGCTGTGTTTCATGTTTATTGACCTATTTGAAATCATAGCTTTAGTTCAGCAGTCGTTTCCTTATTCCACAGTTTTATGGGTCTCACTGTGTCGTGCTAAAAATTGTATTAGTATAAAAGATTATCTATCACATATAATTGTTTAGATGCTACTTTAGGCTCTCAGGTGCTTTAACGACACAAATTTCAAAAATGAAATCCTTCATTATTTTGGTAATCTTTTATTATTTTATGTTAACTTTACTTTAGATAATGACATATATTTTAGGAGATAATATTAGCATCTTCAGCAGGACAGAGCTACTGGTGGCTAGATAATCCTGGGGTAATAAATCCATAGTAATCTTCACATTTAACATTTAATATTATCCACATCAAGATATTTGTATCATTATTATTATCCAAATTTAAAGTATAAAAGTGTTCTAAATTCTAATGATACAAAATACCGGTAAACTGTATTTGACAACTATTTGTGGTGGTTTTGCTTGGCTAAAGGCTACGTTCATTACACGATAACGCTTAAATGTCAAATATTTACACTACAGATATAAACAAAAAGATTTGGAAAACAAAGACAAAATCCTCCCGTGAGTACTAAGCAATTAGTATGAAAACCTTTATATTTATTTGTAATTCCAGCACGCAAAACTATCAGGAAAAATCTATTTCATAAATTAAATAAATAAAAATATCAAATTCTTTATTAGAAATATTTCGTCAGGTTTTTGGAGGAAGAAATTATGATTCAGAGGCAATTGCATCAGGAGAACATTTAAGGTAGGACTAGTTGCAGTATTGATCAGGATTAACTGCAGTATTGATCAGGATTAACTGCAGTATTGATCAGGATTAACTGCCGTATTGACCAGGATTAACTGCAGTATTGATCAGGATTAACTGCTGCAATGAGAGGGATTAACTCCAGCAATGAGTAGGATTAACGTCAGTAACGAGTAGGATTAACTGCAGTATCGATCAGGATTAATTGCAGCAATGAGTAGGATTAACGTCAGTAATGAATTAACTGCAGTATTGATCATGATTAAATGCAGTATTGGTCAGGATTAACTGCATTATTGATCAGGATTAACTGCAGCAATGATTAGGATTAACTGCAGAAATGTGTAGGGTTAACTGCAGTAATGAGTAGGATTAACTGCAGTAATTAGTAGGATTAACTGCAGTAATGAGTAGGATTAACTGCAGTAATCAGTAGGATAAACCGCAGTATTGATCAGGATTAACTGCAGTAATGAGTAGGATTAACTGCAGCAATGAATATGATTAACTGCAGAAATAAGTAGGATTAACTGCAGTAATTAGTAGGGTTAACTGCAGTAATTAGTAGGATTAACTGCTGCAACAATTAAGATTAACTCCAGCAATGAGTAGGATTAACTGGAGTAATGAGTAGGATTAATTGCAGTAATTAGTAGGATTAACTGCAGTACTGAGTAGGATTAACTGCAGCAATAAGTAGGATTAACTGCAGCAATGAGTAGGATTAATTGCAGTAATGAATAGGATTAACTGCAGTAGTGAATAGGATTAACTGCGTAATGAGTAGGATTAACTGCAGTAATGAATAGGATTAACTGCTGCAATGAGTAGGATTAACTGTAGCAATGAGTAGGATTAACTGCAGCAATGAGTAGGATTAACTGTAGCAATGAGTAGGATTAACTGCAGCAATGAGTAGGATTAACTGTAGCAATGAGTAGGATTAACTGCAGCATTGAGTAGGATTAACTGTAGCAATGAGTAGGATTAACTGCAGAAATGAGTAGGATTAACTGCAGCAATGAGTAGGATTAACTGCAACAATGAGTAGGATTAACTGCAGCAATGAGTAGGATTAACTGTAGCAATGAGTAGGATTAACTGCAGTAATGAGTAAGAATAATTACAATGCTAAGTTGGATCATCTACAGTATAAAAGGTTGTCTCAACCCAACTAATAATATTTAGTATAGTGCTAGATAGGATTAACTGCAACCTAGGATTAACCTTTCTTCTAGGAATAGAAGTGAAACTACTCTCTTTACCTAAGTATAGATTATGTAATGATGAAACCGTTATTTAGCTTGAAATATTAATTAACTAAAATTAATATTCGTTTCAGAAATAGAAGTGCAGCAACTTCGACAAACCCTATTGACAGAGTTAAAAGGAAATTTCCAATAAAAAAGTGTTTGAAATATTTAGAATAATTTTTCAAATAGTTTTAAAAAGTTTAATTGTTACTATGGAGTTTAGCTGAAGAGATCGTTTCTTAAATATTTGAATAAAACGGACATTTTAATATTTTATTTCACCTTTTAATTCAAGGTTTGTAAGTCTGCGGTTGTAGCGTAGAAAGTCTGGAAATGCATTAAACTGTGGAAGATTTGAATTTATTTTTACAAACTTTTAAAACCAAAGAATAGTTTATATTCATTTTACCAATTACACACATAATACCCAGTGCAGAATTCAAATTATGGGAGAGTAACATTTGTTGAAATTTTAAAAGAATATAATTATATAATTATAAATTATATAATATAATTATTGGATTTTTTTTAATACAGACAGTCAAATATATTACCAGATGATATTACCAGCGAGTGCCCAATAGGTAGATAAATAATTTCATTCATTCATTCATTCATTATTCAACTTGAGATATTAAAAATAAGCAATAACAATTTACTATGCAGTTTGGACCCGCCTAGCCAGGGTAGGTTGTTTTGAGTGGTTGGCATAGATAAATAAACATATATAGCTTATCAAAGGAATTGATGGAGATCGATTAATTAAAATACAGGGTGGATGGTGGATACACAAACACAAATAAGCTGATAAAGTTTAAGTTTTTTTTAGTTTTTTATATGAAATCTACTCACATGATATACAACTAGGTTTTTTTCGCATATAAACCTCTGATAATTCTCAACATAAATATTGATTACTATTTGTTTAAATACTTTTGCAGATTTAGATTCTTTAAGGTCCATTTCAATTGCATTCCACAATTTAGGAAACATTGCGGATGGAAAGTTCTCTGGATTTTTTATTAAAACCCGTTCTAATTTATATGATTTTGTTCTATTCGGTTCAGCTAAAGACTTAAACATATTTTGGAAGGAAGAGGGGAGGTTATCATTAAAGTATCCATGCATAAATGTCAGAACACAAAATTTGTATGTATCATCAAGATTAAGAACTTTCAGTTTTGAAAATAATGGATTTTAATGTGGCTTGAAAGTACTATAATTAATCGCTCTTATTGCCTTTTTTGCAAAGATCTGATTTTTTGCAGTTTAAAGTTTTTAACCCCTCCCCAAGTAACATTTCCATTATTTAAAATGAGGCCTACAAGAGAGTTATAAACAAGTTGACGAATGTTTAATGGTAAGATATTCTTAATTTGAGACAAAGAAAGATAGATTTTATTGGATTGTTATCAAATATGCTGACATTAATACTACCTTTAATATTCCTATTCTTTGTAACACAACTACCTACTTGACTGTAAATCAGTGATTCAAGATTTGAACCAGCAGTTGGTAGTTCAGCGACCTAGCTCAAATTCATTAAAATCGGTCTTTTGAATCATATCTTTAGTAATCCTTTTCATTCTTTATCTTACTTTCAGTAATCCTCTTCTTTGTAATACTCTATATCACAATAAAAAATACCATTGTTTTCCAATCTTTTACAATTTTACATTTAGCATAGAAACCAGTTTTCTTTTTTCTTACCCTGTATAATATAAGATGATAATGCAAATGTTCCCTGAAACGACCAATTATCATGGTCATAATTCTGTAGGTTAAAATTTTGTCTGAATTAAGTTATTGGTCTAAATGTTATTAAAACTCAATTCCTTTAGGTTAAATATTGCATTCATTAAAAATATCAGCCAAGAGTGAGATTGGTGTCTTAAAAAATTATTTTTTGATTTCATCTTCTGTACACAATTTTATTTTCTTACTGCAGATTCTAATTGTGTTGAGAGATATCTGTGCCGGACGAAGGCCCCAAGTAGATTAGATCTTATTGTAAGTATTTTTTTGTGAGTACAATATTCTTATAAAAATTTCGCTAAACATAGAAATCTGGCTGGAAATTTTTCGGTATTGAACAAATTCTTTGGATTTCATGGATTGTTTTTTTTTAAATTTTAAATATTAGTTTTCAAGATATGGTGAAAGATTATCTAACACAATTGTATTACACTATATACATAATACAATAGAAAGATTTATTTATACATTCATGTAATATAACGAATTTAAAAAACAGTGAATAACAATCCTCCTTTAAACGGTAAAATTCATAAATCAGGTCTTCACAATAATAGAAAATGATATTGAAGCTCTTGCTCCTATATATAATATATATATAGTTGTTTGTTATAGCTGACCAAAACGACTTAACCAAATTGACATCTTTTGAGGGATCCCATGGAATATGCTTTAAAAAAAACGTTTTTTAAGTGTTTATCAAACCTTTGAAACGCCGGGTACTCCAGCGAGTAATTCATAAACATATTTATTAAAAAACAAGATTTCTTTAATTTTTAAAATTTACAAATATACACAACAAGCAATTGACTTTAAGACGACTTAAAACATGTTAAATTCAAAGATCTGAAGTCTTAAAATGGCCTTCTGTTCCTTATGCCTAAAATAAAGTCTGTTTATGGTACAGGGTGTCCCAAAAAACATGGGAATTCAGTGACGAATTGGATATCGTCTTTGTTATGAATTAGCATTGTAATACCTAATTTTAATAGCCATAATATTATTATATCTGCTAGAGGTTATGTAATGAAAATGGTAAAAGGCTATAAAGATGTGTCTATAATGTTTCCAAAAGATAAACAGTGAAGACGGACAAGTTTACTCTGTTTGTATACTGCAATTTTCTTGTTTTATTAAGTACAACCGTATGCAGTCAAAACATAAACAAACAAAATGTGAACATAGCAGACAAAACTCTGACAGATTACAGCTTTCTCAGTAGGTATCACTATACTAAATCAAAGAATTATTTAAAAAGACGATATCGAATTCGTCACTGAATTCCCATGTTTATTGGAACAGGGTGTTCATATATGGTTGGGAAGTGTACATTGACAGGAAACCAAGATGTTGTTAATCGTTTTTGAAAACGAGCATTAAACGATCGTTTTTTTCGTTTTCCTATCGTTTTTTGTTTCGTTTTCCGATCATTTTAAAAACAATCGTTTTAAAAACTTTTAAAATAAACGATAGTTTTTAAAACGATCGGAAAACGAAACAAAAAACGATAGGAAAACGAAAAAAACGATCGCTTTTCAAAAAAATGAAAACGTGAACATCCCTAATCACGTATTTAAAAAACATTTCTAAATGTGTACACTGTACAGCCGTGTTATGTTCCTGCAGAGAATAACTTTGGAGTTTGTTGTACAAACCCGTTCCCACGGATCTGTCCCTTTACACCTAATATACCTACCAGGTTGGTTATTTACCAATTACAAGCATCCTAGGCACTAATTTACTTAATAATTACTTTCCTGGCACTTACCTACCAAGTGTTTACTTACCTGTAATTACCCACCAGTTGTATACCTACTTGTCCTCTACACCTAATATACCTACCAGGTTGGTTATTTACCAATTACAAGCATCCTAGGCACTAATTTACTTAATAATTACTTTCCTGGCACTTACCTACCAAATGTTTACTTACCTGTAATTACCCTCCAGTTGAATACCTACTTGTAATTACCCGACAATTGCTTACTTGCCTGTAATTACCAATTATTTTAATTATTGTATATTGTATTGTGGACACCCAATGTACCAAAATACTTTGATAGAGAAGGAAATATTAAAAAAAATATCATTCAAATTATAAAATGTGGAAACTAATTAGAATTCGTAGTTTTTTCTCGTAAATGTCGCCTTTTCTCTCTATAAATCTCCTGGCAGGAATATTTAAAAGAATATTTTTAAAGATAATTTATTAATTCAGTAAGATAATTAATTCAACCTATAGATATGAAGTCTTTACGCCTCTATTTTGATATGTGTAATTTTATAGTTCAGAACTAAGTTTTTTGTGATTGTTTTTTTTGTTTGCATATTTTTGTAGATCTTTTTTTCTTTTTTGGGAGGGGGGATATTTTCCTAGTTCATAGTTATCAAACTCTGTTATAGAGGTGTTTTGTTTGTTTTTATGTATGTGTTTAATAGATCAATGTTACAGGGAGCAGTGCAAATTTGCAGAAAAGGAGTGCAACAGTCCAGGTCTTATTTTCATCTAAATATTTTTCATAAAAAGTAACGCATTAAAAAAAGATATGAGGAAAATGCTCATTTGGACTTAATCGGTGATCAATGATATGATAAGTAATCAGTATTCAGGATCGGTGATCAGTGATCAGTAATCATTGATCATTGATCATTAATATATTTTACAAGGTGATGAGAGTGGTTGTGAGAGGCCAGCACTCTGCTGTTTCAACGGATGCACCAATGTTTGTTTAAAAAGTATAAACAAGGATAACAACAAAATATGAATATATGAATTTAACCTAAATGGTCTGGCACTATTTCTTCATTTTTCATATAAAGTAGTTAACATAAAACTGTGGATTGGACATTGTTACTGTCTTTGCTCTTTTTTTTGATTGAGAAATGTCTCTAAGATTTTAGTAATTTTTTATGTATTATAGATTCAACAGATAAAAATGTCTAAAATGTGAAGAATATCGTTAATCTTGAACGTTTGATCACGATATACAATTTGGGCACTTTTAAATTTAACGCTCAATGCTTGAACCCTCAATTTAAGTTGTTCCTGCAGGGTATAACCATTCCTGGATATAAAAGAAGGGATTAAATTAATCAGCAGGTCTGCATAAGACGGAGACTAAAGCTTGATTTAAAACCCAAAAGTTCTTACTTTTGTGCTGGATACTCATAATCCCGATAGCTTGATCTTGATATCCACTGTGGACACTTTTAATTTGAGACTCAATGCTTAATCACTACATTTTAGTTATTCCTCCAGGGTAAACTTAAGATGCGGGATATTGAATACAGCGATTAAGCTTTGTCTCGATATTTACAACACAAGAGTTCTCAGCTCAGGGCATAGTTTTAGAACTAAATCCTAAGCGAAATTTCATGAAAAAAATAAGGTGACATGGATCTACTGTTTTCTGGTTAATACTGTATTATATCTTCTATTTGTTGATGTCGTCACAGAATCTTACTTTGAGCCGCAGCGTCCGTTCTTTACCAGACTCCCGCCAAGAGATAAGCAAAAACGACCTTCCGTCACTTCTCAGTCTACCGAAGGCCCAAATAGTAAACCTGTAAGGACTACAAGAGGTCCAAAAATAACTACTACGGCCCCAGAATTGAATACTGCAAGGGTGACAGAAGAGACTACTCCAAGGACTGAAGACGACTTTTCAGGTAAAAACGCTTTGAGAAGAGTCGGCCAATAAGAGTATTTAAGTATTCCTCAGAAATTTGGGATAAAGGGTGAACATTTATTTCATAGCATCAAATCAAATAATGATAAATGTGTTCGTTAGATGTTTTATCTTACATATTTTTATATTAACTGATTGTTATGTTCATAGTATATGGGTGAACAAAACATAAAAAAACATGTTTCAGTTCATTTAATATTATCAAATTTTCTACCATAAAAACAATAATGTTTTTTAAAAATTATACATCCTTTATATTTTTTTCAAATGTTTGTGTGACTGTGTGTTTTTTTCTTCCGTAAACAAGATTTGTAGAAAGCAAATATGTTATACATATATATGTATATATATATATAAATAAATATATGTATATATATATATGTATATACATATATATGTATATATATATATAAATAAATATATGTATATATATATATGTATATACATATATATGTATATATATATATATACATATATACATATATATGTATATGTATGTATATATATATATATATATAAATGTATACACCTACACCTACCTTCGACTGTATTATTTTTTTAAATTTTGATGATACAAGAACATTTTCTATGTATTCTTTCTAGAATATGAATCAAATAGCGACGATTATAACGATTTCGGGATTGATGCAAGAATTGGACCTTCACGGTCTAGTCCTCGGAGAGAAGGAGGAACTACTAAAGGTGGAACAACAAGGGGTCCTAAAACGGGAATTGTAACCAAAGGAACAGGTGTGAAGAATAATATAAAAATATTTTTTTTTTGTAATAAATATGATTCAAAGGTAATTGAGTCTTTGTCACAAACTCTGATTTTCTAATACCTATTTCTTTGCAATCCAATTTCGTAAACGTTAGATATTTCAAACTATGAATTCTGTTAGATGTTAGATCAAATAGCCTAAGTTTGAAATATCAAGGGTTTCCACCGTTAGGTTGCCAAGATATAAGGATTAGAAAATTTGAGTTTGTGGCAAAGACTCAATTCCTTTAGAGTATGGAGTTAAATCCATTCCTTAAACTCTTTTTTTTCCCCCTCCATCAGGGAAGGGGTTTAATTTCTTTGGACATCTTTCATTTGTCGGAATCTATAATTTTCAGCTTTTGGTTTTTATGAATTTTCTATATTTAGAGTTATCACAGTCTTTCGAATCTTTGCAAAAAGAGGTAATTTTATCTACTAAGGATAGTCAAAAACATTTTTTTCTATAAAAATTTACAACAGGGCCGGATTTTATAAATTTGAGCAAGATCTAAAGACGGTTCAACCACGTATATTGAATTGGTGATTTATGATTTGTCCTATAGACGAAAACTACACTGCAGAACTACATATTAGTATTTGAATCGACGCAGTATGCAGTTCAGCTCAAATTCATTAAATTCAGTCCCTGGACACATTTTTAAACATCACTGAACCTCGCTTGCATTCTTATTTTTATTCATGAATCATGATCTTATATGATATTTGAAAAATAGTTTTGCTTATACCAATTATTTGTTTTACTACAGTGGTTGGCGACTATTTCAATACAATGAAGACGACTTTTCAAACTAAATTTTGATTTGGAATTACAAGTTTACAAGTAATTAAAGAGAAGCTTTTTTAATTGGCAGCTTCTCTTGGCTTCTATGTTTATGTGTATCCTTGCTGTTTAACAGTTTCATATAAATCAAAATATCAAAATGAAAAGTCGTCTTTATTGTATTAATATAATCACCTACCACTGTGTAAAAATGATAAACTAGGAACCTCGAGATCTAGAGAAACTGTGGAGTAAACTACTAGATCGTCTTCTAACTTTAGAAAAATAAATCAAAAACTTAATTGTGAAAATGTTAACTTTGTTCTTTTTTTTTTACTTTTTCAACGCTTTTGAATATGTTTATTGCAAAAGCAACTTTAAACATATTGGATTCAATGAATTATTGTTAGATTTATTTTCATGTTTAGTTAGTAGAGAAAAAATCAGTTTATTTTAAAATTACCTTGTAAAACAGAAATATAAGGAGGATATTAAAAAAGATTTATTAAATTATTATAGTGTAATGTGTATTTGTGTAAAAAGATGATTTTACAGTAAGGATATCCGTAAGCTTTTAGTTTATGTTCATTAGATGATGTTCTATATATCAACTTGTAAATAAATTTTTTGTTAATGTTATACTTTCAATTAAAATATTGCAAACGGCAGAGATTAAGATATTGATCTTTTTGTATTTTTGATAAAGTATATCATTGCAAGGTGAGCTGGTGTTGAATAATGGGTAAACAAACCTAGCCTTAGTAAAGGCTATGAATATATATTGGATTTTAGAAAATTCTATAATTTATATATATGAGAAAACAAACAAACTCTAACCAGGCCAGAAGCCAACATAGGTTTCGTATTTTTTTCCTTCAGTTTCCGACGTCCATCCAACGTCATGTCAAATTAAAGTAAATTTAAATATAAATATAAATGGAAATCTTAAAGGTTTTCAATCATAAATCTTCTTGCTAAAAAGCTAATGAGAAGAGCTAAACAGTTTTGAATTACTGATATGCAACCAACTGAATTTGTTTCTCTCAAACTCTGACTAAAATCAAAACTAAAAGAGCTTCATTGTTCCATGTCGTACCAATAAGTTCACATAAAGGAAATGAGTTTTTACCATTACCAATCCGATGTTATAGACCTTTGATATTTCAAACGCCATGTTTTGTATAATGTAAAAATGTATGTATATTGTATAGTATATCTTGAATAATGTGTATTTCTGCTTGTATATAAACAGTGTAATATTTGTAGACCATTATCTGTTTAAATGTGCTAGGTTCCCCTGTAATAGTTTCTTATTGTCCGATAAATAACAACAAATTTATTTAACTTTATAAACACCAGAAACGGATTGGAATATGTATGGAAGAAGGTGGGGGGGGGGGGGAAATAAGTAAAAATAAAAAAAGATCGGTTTAATAAATACTTATATTAAAATTAGATGAAGGTTTAGAAAAGAAAATGTCAAATGAATATTTTAATTCTATATCTTTGCAATCTGATGGTGTAATCAATTTACATTAAACACTTAGTTTCTTATTTATTTAGAAAGGTCTTCATTAAAATTAACTTTATTTAGTAAAATAAAAAAAATTAATTATTCGTAACAGAGAATATTGCCCAGGCAAATTAATTCTCTAATTCTAAGCTGCTTAGCTTTAACAGCTCACGTCCCACTGGTGTACTTATGAATATATCTGAGCTGGGCCGACCTTTACTGCACCTCCAATTTACAATAACTAAAGCGACAGAGGAGTGTAAGCTAAACAAATTTTTGCAGGAATTAACTTGAAACAATATTGAGTTGAATATTGATAGAAACCAGACTTTGGGTTTATTAGGTATTTGTAAGATTTGTATCGATAATTTATTTCCGGTTGTGTAAATACGTCGCTCTATCTCTGGATAAATGCAACCAATATGTTTATTTTCAGTTATTTGGCTGATGTGATGAATACATAAAATAATCGATTTTCATTTGTGCCGGGGACTGTCTCGCAAAATCTGCTCAATTCTTGAGTTGTCCTATACGTATCAGCTTGGTCTAGTCGGCTTATGTTTAGCTTTTTCCCATTTTATTAAAAACTTCTGATGCCTAAACATTAAGAATGAGTTAACAATCCTCTTGCTGTCAAATCTCCCGTATATCAAGTTCTCAAGAAGATGTCGAATCCTCCAACAATGAAATCTTCTAAGATATTTAATCCTCAAAAGTTCTAATCCTCCAACTTTAAATTGCCAAGGATATCAAATCCTCAGGATGTCTTATCCTCCTGTGTAACTCTATAACCAGTATTTAAAAAATTGTTATTAATTTTATTAACCTAGCTTTGAATTTTGAAATGAGAATATTACTTTTATTCGTAGTAAGCAATATTGCTCATCAATTTTAGATTCATTATATTGTATGTTTTTCCGTTGTCGGGGGGGGGGGGCCGGGGGGGGGATTATTCGCCTCCCCCCCCCTTCAGCCAAACATTCTCGTATCTTATATCTTCCTCCTTCTCTCTCTTATTCGAACCTAATGAATAGTCATAATTATTATGATATATAGACTAAAACCATCTCTACTGACTGCTAGCTATATATATATATATATACTGTTTGCACAATACCCTCTTAATTGATGGATTAATTGATGAATCATAAATATGATAATTTATATGAACAGTCAATATGTTTAATGTGTAAGGGAATATAAGATAAAAGATACAGACCCAGTGAGTTGTGGCAAGGATAAATCTTCCTTACTTGATATAAATGTGTACTGCAGACGCTATTTCTAAAATGTAAACAAACCAAACCGAACGGGATCCTTTCTATTCAGAAACAACGTTTTTTTTACGAAATGTTTACTCCGGTTAAAAACTAAGAAACTCAAATATATGAAAATACAACCAGCCTAGTTTGCTCTACCATATGTATTGTTGGACTCATTCCAGAAGGAGTATTCCTTCATTTGTGTTTATTTATATATTTATTATTTTTTAAAGGAACTGAACACTTGCCTCAAATTCTTATTTATATATTTATCATTTATAAAGGAACTGAACACTTGCCTCAAATTCTTATCTATATATTTATTATTTATAAAGGAACTGAACACTTGGCTCAAATTCCTATCTATATATTTATTATTTATAAAGGAACTGAACACTTGCCTCAAATTCTTATTTTCCATTCCTTATTATTTTGCAATAATCTGATTTCGAAGATCATATATATTTAATAAGTCAAAATTTGAAGTATATCTACAACTTAAGGTTGCAAAGATATGGGGATTAGAAAATTATAGATGTAGGCAAATGTTCGTTCCTTTATACATCTATCTCTCTGTCTATCTATCTATCTATCAAGTTGACTATATATGAAATGTTGATCTAATCTGTAAAGTTTGGGATTAGAATAGATTCATTTAAGATTATACTAAAGATGGAACTTGGATAGTTTGTACGTTAGAGATAGACTCCAAAATATAATAATTAAATAAAGCACTAAATGAATATTTCTCTTTTTTAACATACAGATTTAATGTTTTTTCTTATTTTTAAATAACATCAGACACTTTTCACTGTAATACCACTCCTTTATACAAACAAAGTCTCAAAGGGTACATAGTGTAAGCTACATAATTATACACAGTACACAATACACCTTAGGTCTCAACTAAACTCTAATTCAGTACACCGTAGCTCTTAACTAAGCTCTTTTCAGTAGACAGTATTAGTTTCAGTACACAGTAGCTCTACTAAGCTCTTTGCAGTAGACAGTATTAGTTTCAGTACACCGTAGCTCTTAAATAAGCTCTTTGCAGTAGACAGTATTAGTTTCAGTACACAGTAGCTCTCAACTAAGCTCTTTGCAGTAGACAGTATTAGTTTCAGTACACCGTAGCTCTCAACTAAGCTCTTTACAGTAGACAGTATTAGTTTCAGTACACAGTAGCTCTCAACTAAGCTCTTTGCAGTAGACAGTATTAGTTTCAGTACACAGTAGCTCTCAACTAAGCTCTTTACAGTAGACAGTATTAGTTTCAGTACACCGTAGCTCTTAAATAAGCTCTTTGCAGTAGACAGTATTAGTTTCAGTACACCGTAGCTCTCAACTGAGCTCTTTGCAGTATACAGTATTAGTTTCAGTACACCGTAGCTCTCAACTAAGCTCTTTACAGTATACAGTATTAGTTTCAGTACACAGTAGCTCTCAACTAAGCTCTTTGCAGTAGACAGTATTAGTTTCAGTACACCGTAGCTCTCAACTAAGCTTTTTGCAGTAGACAGTATTAGTTTCAGTACACCGTAGCTCTCAACTAAGCTCTTTGCAGTAGACAATATAAGTTTCAGTACAACGTAGCTCTCAACTAAGCTCTTTGCAGTAGACAGTATTAGTTCTCAATTAAGCTCATTTCAGTACACAGTAGTTCTCAATTAAGCTCATTTCAGTACACAGTAGTTCTCAATTAAGCTCATTTCAGTACACAGTAGTTCTCAATTAAGCTCATTTCAGTACACTGTAGTTCTCAATTAAGCTCATTTCAGTACACAGTAGTTCTCAACTAAGCTCTTTTTGGTACACAGTAGTTCTCAATTAAGCTCATTTCAGTACACAGTAGTTCTCAATTAAGCTCATTTCAGTACACTGTAGTTCTCAATTAAGCTCATTTCAGTACACAGTAGTTCTCAACTAAGCTCTTTTTGGTACACATTAGTACTCAGTTAAGCTCTTTTTGGTACACAGTAGTTCTCAGTTAACCTCTTTTTGGTACACAGTAGTTCTTAATTAAGCTCTTTTTGGTACACATTTGTACTAAGTTAAGCTCTTTTTGGTACACAGTAGTTCTCAGTTAACCTCTTTTTGGTACACAGTAGTTCTTAATTAAGCTCTTTTTGGTACACAGTAGTTCTCAATTAAGCTCGTTTTGGTACACAGTAGTTCTCAGTTAACCTCTTTTTGGTACACAGTAGTTCTTAATTAAGCTCTTTTTGGTACACAGTAGTTCTCAATTAAGCTCGTTTTGGTACACAGTAGTTCTCAGTTAAGCTCTTTTTGGTACACAGTAGTTTTTAATTAAGCTCTTTTTGGTACACAGAAGTTCTTAATTAAGCTCTTTTTGGTACACATTAGTACTCAGTTAAGCTCTTTTTGGTACAAAGTAGTTCTCAATTAAGCTCTTTTTGGAACTCAATAGTTCTCAGTTAAGCTCTTTTTGGAACACAGTAGTTCTTAATTAAACTCTTCTCAGTACATGTTATAGTGTTTTGTAGAAAGTAGGCCATTATTTAACTCAAAAGAGTACACAGTGCAGGCTAAAAACAGAACACAGTGCAGGCTAAAAACAGAACACAGTGCAGGCTAAAAACAGAACACAGTGCAGGCTAAAAACAGAACACAGTGCAGGCTAAAAACAGAACACAGTGCAGGCTAAAAACAGAACACAGTGCAGGCTAAAAACAGAACACAGTGCAGGCTAAAAACAGAACACAGTGCAGGCTAAAAACAGAACACAGTGCAGGCTAAAAACAGAACACAGTGCAGGCTAAAAACAGAACACAGTGCAGGCTAAAAACAGAACACAGTGCAGGCTAAAAACAGAACACAGTGCAGGCTAAAAACAGAACACAGTG